ATATATATATATAGAAGACTATTAAAACAGGAAGTTACTCACTCAAGGTAATTTAAGGTGTAAGAGTGAAGGTTTTACCACAACGCTGAGAGTAGACTTTAAGTTGCGATGTTGATTCACTTAGCCTTGCCCTACAAAAGGTATTCTCATCCTCACTAAAGGGCAGTTTTGATCACACCTACCCGGCCCATAAAGACAAGACGAATTCATACCTCAATCACACAGGCAAAAGGCACACTTGGTCACAGAGCAGCGGAATTTTCAGGATAAGCCAAGAGCCTCCCAATTCGATTGTCGTTGAGACATCAGTTAATGGGAGTCGGACGAATCCAGTTCGCTTATGATGAGTTAAGGACATAAAGTTATGAGATGTATTCAACCAATTTCGTTTAAGCTGATTAACGACTGGTAGAAGAAGAATTTTCCCACAATCATATGAGTTGAGCTCACGCTTCCATTCAATTTCACATATTTTTCGAATTAAGTATTGTTTTCCTGACTACCAGTAAATCAGTAGTATGAGATGTATTCACCCAATTTCGTTTAAGGTGATGAAACACTGTCGCGGTTCGACTCTCGCTGAGTGTGTTGATAAGACCGATGCGAGGTCGAAACTGCAGTCCACTCCAGTCGGAATGAGAATAACTTTTGGGAAAGCAAGGCTATGTGAAATTGAATAGAAACGTCAGCTCAACTCATATGATTGTGGGAAAATTATTTTTCTACCAGTCCTTCATCACCTCATACGAAATAGAGTGAATACCTTTTATGTACTTAGTCAGTCACTGAAATCGACTGCATTTCCAACCAGTCTCACCGACAGTTTTAACATTCCAAAGAACTATCACCCTTCAAATCTGTACAATCATACCACTTCATAGCTTCCCCTCTTTTTCACTAAGTTTATGTCTGTCTATTCTAATCTCAGGCAAGTCTGCAAAAGCAGTGCACACTTATCCGTGCACACACACACAAATTGGTGTGTACGAGTATATGTTTCCGGTTCTCTGTTGTAATTCTCTCGACAGCTCGTCTAGGCTTCTTTCAATCGCACAAGCCTGTTCAACAAAGCTAATCCAACGTCATAGTAACCCGACTTTCGGAATGTCTTGAAGATGTTCCCTTCTGACGCCCTCGACGGTGTTGGGAGCAAGTGCAGTTCGGCTCGTGTGTTTGTTGGCCACCAACCGATCATAGGCCAGGACGACTTGATTGTGAAAAGCCCATTTTCAGACGTCTTTTGCGAATGCAACGCATAAAGCCGATCGCCGCGACAACCAGCGGACATCACTTCTCTATTCCTACCCTCTCGACCGAGCGTCTGTCCTTTCCCACCGGGAAGACTGACTATCCTCCCATCGCAACCAGGCGCATACAGTTTTGCACTTTTACATCTCGTCTTATTGTCTAAAAGTACCTTATCACCCTCTCGCTAGTCGTCCTGCTCAACTCCTCTAATCCCCGTGTGACTTCTTCCTCACACAACAGCCCAGCTTCCTGGCGTCAGGCCTTCTGTACTTGCGGCGATGCCGGCAAGAAGGCAGCGAGGTGGTGGGCCATGCAGCCTCGTGGGCAGCATTAACCTCCGAGGCCATCAAAGCGTCCCCATGAAAAATACGCCCACATGCACAACAATTTATTTGTATTAAACATACATTCTATCTCGAAATGTATGCTCACTGGCGTTGCTTCGATTCGTCTCATCATCTACCCTGAAATGGGATAGCGAAACAGTTGGCCATTCGAGGCCTCGACCCCCTCGCTCAAGCCGGATGGAGGCAGTTTGTATGTCATTTCGTGCATGGCTTGGTTGCCGCGACGACTAGGGGGTGTGTTTAAGGTGGGCGCTACTTTTCGAGTGGATTTTATGCAGTCTTGTTTCACAAAAAGCTATTCCCATTCAGGCTGGAACGGAGACCAGTTTCCACCTCGTCTTAACTCCTTTCATCAGCGCCTCCAGCGGGATTCGAACCCAAGTCAGGTCAGGGATCTTGGCACGCGGCCAAAAGCCCCATTGGGTCACCCGGCATTTTCACATCTCACATTCTCTGCTGCGATTGCCGATGCATCAAAGTTGCATTTGCTATAGCAATCGACTACATTACTTATATTTCGTTTATAAGTTGGTGAAGTTTAATGGGAACAGAAGGTTTAATCATAGGATTGTGTGAAAATTCCACTAACAGTCGCTATTTAATCTTAAACGAAAACAGTGAATGCACCTCATATATATGATCTGGTGGTAGTTACGTTGTCCTACTTATAAACGAAAAAAGTAGTATAGAAGACTGCTTTGCTTCATCGGCACTACCACCCCACCATAGAGTGTGATATTGCAAAATGCCTGGCCTTCCTTGAATTTCACATCTGTCCTGTGACACACAAAAAAATCATGACAAAGTGGCATAGTGTTTGGCGTATCGACAATCATGCACTGTCCTGTCACGGTTTGAGTCCCGCTGGAGGTAGTGATGAGACGAGTTGAGGCGAGACCGACACTGTAGCCCGTAATTGTTGAGCTCACTTCCATTTCGAGTGGCAGTGTTGGGTAAAGAGATTTGAAGGTCGGTGTACGAGAAGACGACGTCCGATTCCTGTTGACCAGCTGTCGATTGGCTTTACTGGAACATTCATGCTGATGCTGTTTACGGGGCAATCTTCTTCGAATCCGGTAAAAAGATGATAGGCATTTGTCTGTTATGTGACGAACATTATCAGAGCATCAAAAATATCATCTTCACAACAGAATTCAAGCAACGAGTCACCGAAATTGAAGAAGATTGCCACGGAAACAGCTTCAGCATGAATCATCGAGTAAAGCCAAGCTGGACAAGAGGAATCCGCCGTCGTCTTCTGGTGGAATCGAACTTTAAGT